ATATCAAAAGATAAAAATCAATGTCAATAATATTAAGAATAAAATGTAAAAAGATATTGTGTTCTTAAGTCTGTCATAAGCATGTACCATTGGCATTAAAACAGACTGTTGAAAGAATTTGGCATGATACCAATGTTGAAAAATGGATATGAAATTTTCAGTTTTGAGACTTCATATTATTTTTAGAAAATAACTTGATTTCTCTTTTATTCTTAATGTAAACTTATTTAAAATCTGATTGTAATATGTAAAAAATGGTATATAATTTTAGATATCCACAAACCACAGTGCGGTGAACAAACATTTACACTTTAGTCTCAGACCAATGCAATTGGTCAAATTACTATTGTTTTGAACTTATAATCATTTACATCTTTCTATACTAAAATCAGTTCTTTTTACTCTAATATTTTATTTTAAAGTGATCACCTGTGGATGACTTTACCTTTGGCTCACTTTGTATTTTAGAAGTTGTAGAAGAGTTAATTCCACAAATAGGGATTGAAATCCTACTCGGTTATGTAACTGATTATATAACTATTCAGTTGCTCTATTTAACTTAATTGTGTTTCTTTTGAATATTTCAGACATTTACTTACATAAATAGTTCTTTCATTTCTTTCATTTCTTTCTTTTCTTGAGGCTCCTATATTATTTCTCCACATTGTGTTCATAATCTTATCCATTTTTGTCATCTGCTTTTCATATCATTTGCCTAATTTTTTTAAATTTATTTTTCATTTACTTAAGTGTTTTTTATTTTCATCTTCTTTGTTGCTCACCATCATTGATTAGCATTTTTTTGTCTCATTTCAGTTTTTAGCATCTTTCTTATTTTTGTTCTTAATATAAAATACTTTCTTTTAGCTTTCAACAATTACATACTTTAGTTTCTTATTGTTCTGCTTATATAATTTAAATATATAGTGTGTTAAGTTCATTTGACTTGCAAGAGAAAAGAACACACATGTTGCACATTAATTAGATAAGTTTTTTTTGTTGTTTTTTTTTTAATTTTTAAAAGTTTATTTTCATCAGGTGAACTTTACCAGTAGGTCTTCTTTGATGGTAGATTTGCTAAGAAACCATATTGATGAGTTCAATTTTTTATTACTCCAATCAAGTTGATCAGTAGAGATCAATTATTTAAATCATCAGTTGAAGATTTTAAATATGGTGTGAATAGTGAACATTTGGTTAAATTTTTTTTTAAAGTAACAATTGAAAATTTAATTTGCAATAAAAAATGTAAGATTTTAGGTGAAGTTTATTTTTTTTAATTTCCTTTTAAAATGGTCACACATGGACTATTCAAGAAACTACACATTCATTTAACTATTGCATTTGTGTGTCTTCTTATAATAAAACTAAAAAAAAAATCATTACCTTTTTATGTCAAATTGTCATTTCTAATTTATTACAAACAATATTAAAACAATATGCAAACATTTTCTAAAATTCTAAATCATTTATGACTTTATAACCCCTATTGTAAAGAACCTCTTACTTGAAATATTAACCACTGTGCGTGTGAGGGAAATAGAAAAAAATTTTACTGACAGGTTATATAAACTTGGAATTACAGCAACTTGTTTGCCATATTTGTTGGCATGTAACATTATTCCCCCCCCCCCCGGAAAAAAAGGATAAAAGAAATCTCCTGGGGCCTAGATTTTAAATTGCAACATCTAATAAATTAATGTTCAATCAAGTTGCATAGATTAGCAATACTTGTACCAAGCCTAACTCTATAAGCCATATAAATAAAATGGAATGTGTATCCTTGTGTTTTGTATGTCAGTGTAACACTTTTCTGCATCATCGGATTATTCTGATGGCATAATAGCAATAGAATTTTTTTAACTTAATAAATGGATACTAATTTTATAATTGACATATACTTCTAAAATATCAAAAATTTAAAATATTGCTGTTTTTTTATGTCATGCAAACTAGAACTACAATGTGAAATGGAGGTGGGCTTTATATGCCATCAGATATCGTAATTTGTGGCAAAAGAAATTTCAAGCTAGGTTTTTATTAAAGAAAATTTGTTAATATTTTGGAAACATGAATTTTGTTTAGCTTTGTATTAATTTTAAACTTCATTTTTTACCAGTTGACTGTTTATTCAGTAATGCTCAGCCCATGAATCTTATCAAAGATTTGAAGGAGAGAAAATTATTTAAAATAGACACACAAGTAGCTTTTTCTCCTGCTGCTTGTCTTCTATAATCTCCATGATAATCATAATCGTATTAAATAATGTCATGATTCTTGAAAAGTGTGAAACATATGGTTGAGAGATTTGTTATATCATTTGCTAATAAAACAAAGGGAAGAAATTTAAAAATTAAAAGAGATATCTATAAAAAAAAAAAAAAAATACAATTATTTATCCCATTAGTTTTTGTATGTTGAGTAAGCAAATATGATTGCTTCATCAAATATTTATTGCCCTTACTTTCAGGAAAACATTTAAAATTTCTTGACATAAGCTTTAATTTCTTTGGAGGACCTTTTTTTTTTTTTTTTTTTCAGTCATTATACCATATCAAAAAATATTTTAGAAAAATTGGCAGCATTGTCACTTTTATGTCATAATTGAAGATAGCATTAACAAAGATGTTTGGTTTAAAGTTAACTCATTTGAGGGTTTTTTTTATGCTAGGGATAAGTGTTTCTGTAGGGAGAGAGTTTCATCATTTGGAAGTAGGTTTTACCGGTTTTCAAATTTTTCACTTTCTCTTGAATAATCTATGCTTCTTTATTTACTTAAAACATTTTGATTCTCTATCACACATTAAAAAGACTGCATTTATTTTATTAACATTTTAAATCAGTAATGCTTAAAGAGAACCAAAGACTACAACCAAAACATGTATAAGAATGTTGAGTTGTAGCATACAGTAGTGGAATCAAAAGAGTAGGAATCACAAGCAAAGTGGTTGTCAGACGAGCACTAAGGCTAGTAACAAGAACTGGCATATTGATTTTAGGGTTATTTCTGTAGAAGGCAGTTTCAAACATGTGAAGTTTGGAAGTGGTAGGAGAGCATGGTGCAGCAGCCAGACTTATAAATAGGGGAATTGACAAACTGAAGATTTCCATAGTCTTTTCAACTTTCCTTACTCTCCTTTCTTGGTCTTCTTATTTCTTTGTTCTATTCCTCAAAACATTAGGGGGAAAACCTGTGTTCATGCCACCAGAGAAAGAATAAATAAACTGGGGCTCATGAAATAGCTATAGAAGTGAGAGAGAAAAAAGTAGTGGTGGATTGGGAACAGATATGTTTACATTTATCAAAATTATTTTCTGAGAAGGATAGGAAAGCAATGGAAATAGCATGTCTTTAATGTGCAAAGGCAGTTGGTATGGATTTTTTGGAATGCTAAACTCTTTAGATGCTGAATAATGAGGTGAAAATATCATGGAACGGACAAAAGTTGGAGTGTGTGAATATTTAGATTTTGATATTCAAAGAATTCAAAGAGATTGATGATTGGAACTAGCTTTGGAAATGGCTGAGAAGAAATAACACTTTATTAATTTATTACAGTTTTATTTTTTATCTTTATTTTTAAATTATTGGATAAGGTTATGATTTCAGCGTAAATATATTTTTAACTTTAAAGTATTGGCTATTGAACAACTTATTTTAAAAAAAGTTATTTTATCCTTGAAGTTTATCCATAAGAAAATAAAGAGATTTTTTTTTTATTTTTTTTTTTATTTTATTTCCAATCATTCTTTGGGTTGAATGAAAGCAATAAAAAAAAAAAGAATTTTGGTCTCACCATTTCACTTTCTTGTCATTTTTACTTTATTGTAAAATTTACATTTTAAATCAGATTTTAAGATAATATTCCAAGTTTTGTTATAATCTTTGAAATGAGAAATTGTCATTATATACTTTGCTAGTTGAACCAACATACTTATTTTCTTGTTATACTAGCAGCATTTCAGTTTTTGTAGTCTCTAACCTTCTTCAGTCTTTGTACTTTGGTAACCTTGGAATTCTGAACTGAATCTTTTATTTAGTTGATATTGTTATTCTCATTTTACTTTTCATGCTTATTTCATATCAGTTAATATTCACCAGTTTTATTCACCATTGTGTTGCTTGCCCATATCTTCCACTTCACCAAAGTGTGTGACTATTCAACACTTTAATCAACTAGGGTCTCTCTTAATTGAAAATAGGTGGGGGCATACAACATGCCAAAACATAAGTATAACACTCAAGATAAAGAAAACATGCTGGTCTGAATAACAAAGCATATGATAACATTGCAAGTTGTTTTTATATTGCAAAAAACAAAATCGAATTTCTACTGTGTACATTTTGCAAAAAGTACACTAGAAAATTCTGAATATTTTTTATAAAACTTTTTGATCCCATTGACACTGAGAGTTAAGACTCTAATGAGAATGAGATTGAATAACTGAAAAGAAAGCAGTTATTCAGCCTGGACACAAGTGGAAGTGAAAAACAAACATGTCTCTACTCTATTCAGCTCTCTTCCTATCAACATTATTATTTGAATATATTCAAACTATTTTAATTGAAACAAGGGGGTTTTGAGAGAAATTGTTTAAATGTGCAAAAATTTTAACATTTATATTTTTAATTTAACTCTGTCAATTTTCACTTGATAGATTGACTGCTCAACATTCCTTCCAAAATGTGCAATTTTTTTTTGTTACCTGATATATGTTAACAAGGAAATAATGATTAAAGGACGACAAGTGCTGCTTAATTTATCTGTGAATCGAGATTAATTTGAAGCAATAATTTTTGTAATGTGTTTACTTGCTTGATTAGCATCAGTAACAAAATTGGTTGAGTTTGTATTTTTTACTTTTCTTTCATTTCTTTCTTTTGCTTTTGTTCTCTCTGTTATGCTACTCTGTCTCTCTCTCTCTCTGTTATGCTACTCTGTCTCTCTCTCTCTCTCTCTCTGTTCTGCTCCCCAGTCTCTCTCTGTTCTGCTCCCCAGTCTCTCTCTGTTCTGCTCCCCAGTCTCTCTCTCTGTTCTGCTCTCCTGTTCTCTCTCTGTTCTGCTCCCCAGTCTCTCTCTGTTCTGCTCCCCAGTCTCTCTCTGTTCTGCTCCCCAGTCTCTCTCTGTTCTGCTCCCCAGTCTCTCTCTGTTCTGCTCCCCAGTCTCTCTCTGTTCTGCTCCCCAGTCTCTCTCTGTTCTGCTCCCCCAGTCTCTCTCTGTTCTGCTGTCTCTCTCTCTCTCTCTCTCTCTGTTCTGCTCCCCAGTCTCTCTCTCTCCTCTCTCTGTTCTGCTCCCCAGTCTCTCTCTCTCCTCTCTCTGTTCTGCTCCCCAGTCTCTCTCTCTCTCTCCTCTCTCTGTTCTGCTCCCCAGTCTCTCTCCTCTCTCTGTTCTGCTCCCCAGTCTCTCTCTCTCCCTCTCTCTGTTCTGCTCCCCCCAGTCTCTCTCTCTCTCTCTGTTCTGTTCTGCTCCCCAGTCTCTCTCTCTCTCTCTCTCTGTTCTGCTCCCCAGTCTCTCTCTCTCCTCTCTCTGTTCTGCTCCCCTCCCTCTCTCTCTCTCTCTCTCTCTCTCTCTCTCCCCCTCTCTCTCTCTCTCTACCTCTCTCCCTCTCTCTCTACCTCTCTCTCTCTCTACCTCTCTCCTCTCTCTCTCTACCCTCTCTCTCTCTCTACCTCTACCTCTCTCTCTCTCTACCTCTACCTCTCTCTCTCTACCTCTACCTCCTCTCTACCTCTCTCTCTACCTCTCTACCTCTCCCTCTCTCTCTCTACCTCTCTCCACCTGGTGCTTGAGTAAATAGAAATCAACTTTTTAACCACAAAATAAATTTACATTATTGACATCCTTGTGATAATCGGTGTTTTGGCCATTTCTTCCTCTGGCCTTCTTCAAGTGTCTATTTGCATAGTCAGTAAAGTAATGATAATCCTGCATATAATAAATTTCAACATACATTAATTTTATATTAGTTAAATTGTGCAAAATGTGTCATTGACTTACATTGTATCAAAATGTAATATTTTTTTTCTTGCTTTATTTTGCAACATATTCTTGACAGTGATTGAAATATTAAATTATGAAAATTATATCATGAACCTTTTAAAGTAGATTTGGGATTTAAATAGCTTATATTTGAATTTTCCATGTTTTTAAAATTTTTTGACATTTATTCTTGTTCTAGGAAAATAAACTCTCAGATATAGTGAAGAAGTTAACTTAATATAAGTATTAAAATTATAGTTCATAACAATTGAAGTTAGCTACATAAGCCAATAGCATAATTATTCACTTATGTTTTATGTGAAAGTATTTCAATTTGAAAGCAAAGTAAGAATGATTATATATTTAACTTTTTTTTTTTGTCTTTGTTCATATCTGCTCTTAGTGTATTTTTGTACAGAAGAATAAAAAAATGAAGTGATATTTCAACAGGCAATATGTTACGGAATTATAATGATTATTATATTTTTGTTTTAAACAGAATTTTAGTGACATTAATAATTGCTAAACAAAATTAAGTGGCAAAAATAATGAACAGAACCAGAGAAAAATATGTTTGACTGTAACATCAAATGAAGAAAAATATTTAATGAAAATTCTTTTCTTTTCATTGTGCCATGCAATCATGACACAATAGTAACAATACTGTTATAGTAGCAGGTAAATTATGCAAAGGTTTTGATGTAATGTATTCAGCAGATGTCTAAATGTCAGTTCATAAGGAATTTTTTTTTCTTCTTTTTTTATTGATGGATGACAATCGTGAATCAACAATTTATATTTTGAATGTAATTATTTTCTGACTCTAGTTAACGATCACTTTCTTTTCACTAAGAAGAAAGTGACTGTAATGAATTGAGTCTGGAAAGAGAGAAGTTGGACACTACAATTAAAAAAGCATGTTGTGTACTGCTTTTGATATGCATTGATGGATTGTATAAGGAAGTTAGTGTGTTATCAGAATGTTTGGGTTTGTTCATCAACTGGCTACTGATTTGGGTGGCAGGCAGGCGGAAACTGTTGATGGTGGTAGGGTTAGGGTTGCTGGCTGATACTGCAGTATGCACAGGTCAGGTTATAAGAGGAGGCTTTTCACAATGAATACTGCACGAGTAAGAGTCTAAAGTGAAGTTGGAGAAGCAAAAGAGGCCCCAACATAACTGCCCTTGTCTGCATAAAGAACATTTTTTAGCAAGAGATTTAGCAGGGCCAGGAACATATGCTTAGATGCAGTAGAATTAAAACCACACATAAGAAAAATTATAGCAGTTATTTATTTCTAAAATGTAGACTTTATAAGCACGCTGCAGATGGCAGGTGTTTAATAAACGACATGCTAAGATCATAGTAGTCTATGACAAAACTACCTGAGTGATTTTAGTTTTAAAAGAAGAAAAAAACCTACTCTTTTTGTCAGTGATGCCATAACATTATTCCATTATCCTTATTATAATATTATTAATAATGGTGATGTTGATAGTAGTGATAAAAGCAGTAGTGGTATTATTAATAGCAATCATTATAATATTAAGAGTTATAACAATAGACTAGTGACTGTGTTGCAATAATATTTGTAATAAAGCTTTGATTTATGATAAATGTAATAGCAATAGTTTACCCATGTTTAAATTAAGAAAAAAATTAAAACAGTAGCAGTGATTAATGGTATTGATATTTTTAGCCTAATTTTAGTAATGATAATATGAGTAAATATTAACTCAAAAGCTGTTGGTAGTTTTTGGAGTCACTGGCAATATTTGTTATTGCTTCAAAGATGGAAATCTATGGCAGTTGTCTCAGCATTTGATATTATAGTGTTGAGGTTAAATGAAGATGAAAAAAATTACAATACTTGCTCTTTATTTCCTGCCCCACATTTGTTAAGAGATAACATTCTTGCCACTTTGTAAAAAAAAAAAAAAGAAATTTTTAATTTTTAAAAATCTTTTCCTACATTTCAAGTCATTTTTTTCCCACTTTTAGAATTTTTTCAGTGATTTTTTTTTTTTTTTTTTTTTTTTATCACTGAAACACAAATCTATTTATGTTCCTTAATTTGACTATTATTATTATTTAATTTTAAATGTTAATATACATTGAATTTAAACTGAATCAGCATTGACATGAATTAACCTTATCTCTATGATTTGTAAACAAAAGTATAATACATTAATTGAATATTAAATCTGCAATAAATTTAGTAATGAAAAATATTTAATTACCTCAGCTTTTGAGAGCCTAAAATTCTATCAGTATAATGTTGAAGTGAAAGGCAAAGTGGCTCCAGTCCAAGTGTTGGACAAATTATTTCTTCTTGAAAATATTTGTCTACTGCATTGAATGCTTCAAGATTGTTATTGTACATTTGGATCAAGTGATGTTAAAAAACAAAAATATTTGGGAATAAGTTGATTTTATTATCTATACATATTTCTGTCTAAACTAATGACCTTTCTTGTCTTATCCCTTTAAATTCATCTGTAAATTTAGCTTTTAATGTGTCTCACTCTTGACAACCAAATAAGCTGGTTACTAATTATATATCGGTTATGTTTAAGAATTTATGTATTTAGAAGGAAAAAAAATTTTTTTTTTTTTTTCTTTTTTCATTTTTGAATTTTTGTATATAAAGTAGTGATATTTAGATTATAAATGTGCATTTCCCTAAACATATTCTTAGAAAAGCCATAGTACTGACTGATTTGGATTTATTTCCTCTAAGAGCAAATATATAGTAATAAGAAATTTTAGTTTAATTTAAATTTGATGCTAAATACGTTTTACTGAGAAGGAGTTAAAATTACAATTTAAACAAAGTAAGCAATTAATTTTAGAGCATCAGAATATATGGTACATATATGTTCACCTATTGTCTGCTTCACACTCCTCTCCAGTCTTTTGTACAGGAGTAGAGGTTTGTCCCATTTTTCTGTTTAGGATTGAGTTTCCAGTTCCTTCTAAAGTCTTTTCATTCTCTTTCACTCCCAGTAGTCTCTTGCATCTTAGTTGCCTTGCTTGGAGTGAATTGATTAAAAAACAAACCAAAAAAAAAAACATATGCACCTATAAGCAATGAATTCTGACAGATTTTGTATGGTACAATGGGTCATTTCTTTTCAATGCTCTATTTCCAATCAGCAGGACTAAAACCATGATATATTTTTATTTGGAAAGTTGTCGATATTTGACTTGTATACATGTTATCTCTTATATACATATTGTAATTACAAGTTGATTTGAATATTTTCAGATATTTAAGAAGTTATCCAAAAAAGTAATGCAATATTTTAAGAATATCTTAAACTTTTTGGGATTTGGATGTAAATGAGTCAAGAAGAAAACTATTAAAAATGTAATTTCATCCCAGAAATACAAAAAAAATCTAATTTTTCTCTTTTTCTGATATGAAAAAAGAGTTTGTAAAATATATTGTGCATTTTTCTCTTGAGACTCTAAGTAATTGATAACTCTCATTGTTTTTAAATTTCATAAGAGAAATCTTTATCTGTATTTCTTTGCCTGTGTTTATTCAGCTTGTTCTAAATAACATTTACATCTCATACACAAGCTGTAAATTTTGGGGTGAATGGGATATATGACTTGAATTGAAGAAATGTTCAGTGGATTTTGTACAGCAATAAATCATGCATGCTTAAATCCTTTACTCAAGCCCCTTTTTTCATGCTATTAAGTACACTGGCAACCCTTGTGACAATAGAAACATTCTCTTCTTGAAATTCAGTTTCTCTCTCTCTCTCTCTTGAATCCTTCAGGGGGCACTGTTGTTAAAAGTACATCTTTCACTTTTTGTTCACATCTTCCTAAGATGTATTAAATGTACAGATAATTTTTATCAAGGTAAAATTTTCCCAACTGACCTTCATTAATGGCTGTCAGTGCAATAAACAAGGTTTTTTTTTTTTTTTTTTTTTTTTTTTTTTCAATAATCTAATTGAAGGGAAACTGAAGAATTGCTGAATGTAAATTCAGGTTCATTATTTTTATTATATTAGTTTAATTTTATTTATTTATCTTTTTAATTAAAAGAAATATGTTATTTGCTGGATCATCAGTTTTGTTTTTGTACATCTTTGATAGAAAAATACTATTTCTTAAAAATGTATTTAAGTTCTTTATTCTTTTACTCATATTTGAGTATTTATTTTTCTCTGTGATCTCTTCAACATAACATTTTTTTTTGTCTTCTTACAGGCTGAACTTCCAAGTGCTGTTGGTATTGTTGATGAGGAAGTTCCATTCACAGATAATGAAAATGAAGCCCAAGCAAAAACTGAAAAGAAATATTACATTGACACTCCTTACTTAAAAGTACCTCGAAAAGGGATGGAGGTTACCAGCTTTTTAAAAGATGGCATGAGTAAGTAATGATTGCTTAAGACATTAATAAACAAACTTCAAAGTTAAAAAAAGATAATAAAAAAATTAAAGATAAAAACCTTACAAAATATTTTTTGTCTGGCAATTCAATGGAACATGTATAAAAGGATTGCTGTCCAACTATTAAAATATTCCAAAAATAAATAACTGGTTTTTAAACTTGAATAATAATTGTTTGAGTAAAAAAAAACTGTGTGGGTTAGGGTTAATGGAATTGTCAAGCTGTGTTCAAATTCTGGCCTACCCTGTTTGTCTTTTGCACTAATGCCTCTGGGAAAGACTGAACCCATCTCTTCTGCCCCTAGCTATAGGTTAAATAGCAGACTAGATCTCTAGCATTGGGTGGCAACCAGTCTAAGAGAAGGAAAACACTGAATTCAAAGTTATGGAGAAACGAGAAACCACTCAACTATCATTTCCAAAAAGCTTTGGCAATTTGCATATAATAAAGAAAAAGGAATCTAGAAATCCACGATTGCCTACACCCTGAAGCGACACTCCTTTTTTTGTTAAAAGAAAAAAGATAAATGTGTGTATGCTATGCGTGTGTCTTATAATTTGAATTTCAATTGACACTGTTCACTTTAGACCAATGTCCTTAAGGCACAAACTTTTTTCTTGGTCCCATTGTCAGATATTTTGAAAAAAATACCTCATCACTGGCGTGCCATGAGGATTGTTGACAGTAACAGAAAAAAGCTATTACATTCATTGTCAACCTTACATGTTTCAATATAAGAATCATTTTTAAATTCTGTACCACTAAAATTGTAATTTGTATTCATACAGCCAAAATCTATTTCTGTTACCTTTTGTAAAGTTAATAAAAAATTTACAAAAGAAATTTTCATTGGGTAGAAGTTGAGACTATGATTAAGTACCTTTACTTAGCCCTGTTTTCTCTGACTGCAATGCTTGTCATATGGAAGTGTGTATTGTATAAGTATTATTTGTACAAAAAGTGGAATTGGTGAGCTGAGTTTAAATTCCAGCCTAGTATTTTGTGTTCACTTTCACAAAAATGCCCTTTGGGAAAGGCATGAATCTATCTCTTCTCTTCCATCCTCAACTATGGGTTAAATAGCAGAGTAGGTCTGGATGGCAGTCATTTTAGGAGAAGAGCCATCCAAATTTAAAATCTTCGAGAAAGCAAAAGGAAACCACTTCCACTATCTTTTCCAAGAAGTAATGGAAATTCATAGGAATAAAAACAAAGGAATTAGTGGAGAGCCAAGGACATAGAATTTAAAAAATGAATAATGGTTGTTAACAGTTAAAATTTTAATGTTGCATAAAAAAAATGATTGGTTCCCTGTACCACTCCAATAAGTATCTAACTCCTCCCACTATCTTCTACCTGTACAAGAGCTACAAATGATGAAGTACTGCTGTCATATATGGGCAGGAGCTGCCCATTCTTCACTTTCCAGATTCAATAGAGTCCAAAAGCATCTGCATTCTTGTAGGTGACAAATTATTTTCCACCCTACAACCTCTTTCTCATAGATGAAAATTTGCAAGCTTTTCACTGTTCTATCACTATTTCCATGGAAGATGTTCAATCAGTTCTTACCTTCATGGCTAAGAACTATCATGCCACGAACATTGTAGTGAACAAAAATCATTCTCTTTGTATTTCATTGATGAGATGTAAGTTCCACTTACCGCTCTGTGCAACCAACTCCCAAACAGATGCTTCTCTAATCACTATAATATTAAAGTCTGAGGTTAACTGTTACCTTCCACACATATTTGCATATACTGTGCCTCTCACTCTGTAACATGCTATCTTGAGTGGCTCCAGGATCTTGTACAGAGTTAAACATCATTGAAAAAAAAAATTTAGATGTAACAAAAATTGGGCTTCACATGAACTGGAAAGGAACTGTATTTAAACATTTGTCTTTTCTTTTTTCTCAACTGAAAAGTCATTTTTGGACAAGATTGTATCTTGTGATGAAAAATCGATTTATGATAGTACCAAATAAAGAAAATCTTGTCTAAATCAAGAACAGCCTTCATCATCTCAACCTGAAAAGGAAATGTACTGAAAGAGGGAGTTCTTTTGTGTTTGGTGGGAGGCAAAAGACATTTTTTAATTATGAACTGCTGGAACTTGAGCAAAATGCTACTGCACAATGCTACAGTGTGCAATTGGCTAGTTTGAATGACATATCAGAAAAAAAATGTCCTTTTTCAAGGCAGTCAATAACTGGCAACTTAGCAACATGACAATACTTATTTTTAATTTTTTGTTACAAATCCACTGCTGCATGAATCTGGTGTGGAAGGTTCTTCTTCATATAGCATATTTTTGAGGCCTGTCAACTTCAAATGATTACAGGTTTGGCTCCATACTGCTTGACTCGTTAAGGATTCCTAAATTTCAAGATATTGAAAGATCCCTCAAAGAATTAAATGAATCAAAACTGGAATTGTTCTTTTATAATGGAATACACAATTTAGTTGAAAGATGGCAGAAAGCCAGAAAAATTCTAATGAATGCTATGAAATTATAAGTTTGTATAAAATTTTTTTTAAAAATATGGAAACCTTTCATATTATACTAAACATTGAAAAACATCCCAATTGTAGTATTTAAATTCACATTATTTTATTTTCATTGGTGTCATCTTTCAGTTCTGATGAATAGAAGTCAAGAAAAATTTGCCAGGCTAAGACATTTGGACTAAATAAATCTCCAAATAAATCCTCTTTGTTTAAAGGATATTATCATTGCTAACATACAAAAAGTTTTATATACTTATTATGATTATTTCCATTATCTTAATGGCCCAGATATTTCACAAGGTCGGAATTTAAATTTCACTTGATGAATGAAGAATCCCATTAATCTATTTTATAGATTGTCCAAATATTTAAGGTTTTTTTTTTTTTTTTTGGCAGGATATAGGATGAAGTTTTGTTCTAAGAAAATAAAGAAAAACAAAAAAAAAAAGAAATAAAATCAAATCATCCTCTTATATGTTAAATGAAATTTTTTTAAGTTCATACTTAGCTTCTAATATTATTAACTACAAATCATTTTTAACCTTGAAATGTAGTCATCAAATGAAGTAAATTTTCATTGTATTGAAAGATGTGATCACTTCCATAATTTTAGCCATATTTATTTGCACACTTTTTTTTTTTTTTTTTTACAATTGTGCCATTAGTGATGATTGAACTCAATATTATCAAAGACACTCTGATAGTTTATTGGATTTGTGATTTGTCACAGTGATTGCTTAGCCCTGTGTGCGGGGTTTGTACAAGGTCTTGGAAACCTTGAAAAATCCTGGAAAATTGACAGGACCTTTTCCCAGGCTTGAAAAGTCCTGGCAAAAAAGCAATAGCCCAAAAGCTCCTCGAAAAGTCCTGGAATTTTCTAAATTGGGCTGCCCACACTTCCTTTTTCTCAATTCATGAAAGTAAAAATGGCAAATCCCAAAAATTTGGATATTTTTTTTTTTTTTTTTTTTCAAAATAAAATTGTCCTTTGAGAAAAGTGTTTATTAGTCATCAGTAATATTTGGCTGTTGTTCAACATCTGAACTTTCCATGTCCCAAGAGTTATTTTTGTTTGATGCAAGCAGTCACAAGATAGCAGTCTAGTGACACCTGTTGCTAATGTCATTCCTTTCCAGGGCGAGGGATAGGTTCCGAGCAATTTTATCCCCTTTACGCCGTTTATGTTAGCAGCCGAGCGAGGAGCTAATTCTCATAGTCTTAACCTCCTTCATGCCATTAGGCTTCATACTGTGTGTTTTTAGCCATGATATATCTTGGGATCAATAGTGGAGTGGTTTCCCATTGCCTTCTCCATGGTGGTTTATGGAGACACCACTCTAGTTAGCTGGGTGTTGACTCGGAGAGCTCTTCTGCCCTTTGTTAAGTCTTATTTTTCATCCTACTGGCTCTCTAACAAGCCACCTCACTCAGAAGAACTTGGAATAGAGTAGCCAGTTTAGTTGCCAACATTTTGACTGGAATACTTACCATATATGAGTTACCTGGCCTCAAGTCTGTTTGACCAAAAACCTTGTACACACAGTTAGTAAGGTGAGGGAATAGAATAAAATGATTAGGTTTTTTTGTTTTTTTTTAAATTTTAAATTTACAAGTTAATGTTAACAGTTCTAAAAATAAAAATAAATAAAAATATGTTTGATTTTAAATCCCAAGACCGAGGGAGGGGGGCAGTGCTAATGTGACCATTTACTTTGTAAAGAAGTCAAAATGCTCCATGACCGAGAACCAGAAATTGAGTTAGTATCTAATTCTTGCATGAAAATTCAAAAGAGCTAATATTCAAACACATTTTTCAAAAGAAAATAAAAATGAGGTAGACTAAATTTTGGAAAAAAAAAAGATCAAACAAAAAATAACCCATGGGACATTCAGACATTGAATAACTGCAACCAATTTAATAATGCGAAACAAGAGATGAGCAGGCTAAAAATCAACATCATAGCTGTATGTGAAACTAGATGGCCAAACAATAGACATTTTGTCAGCGACCAGCTCAGGATTATTTATGCAGGCGGAGAGAAAAATGATAAATGAGTAGGATTGATACTAGATAAAGTATTTAAGAAATGCGTTCTGGTATACTACCAACTATCTGAAAGAATTCTGGTAGTCAGGCTGAATATATATATAATATATATATATATATATATATTATAATAGTCTACGCACTGACAGTGCAACATAAGAAAGAAGAAATTGAATCTTTCTACTCCATGCTAGACAATACCAAGGCTCTTTGCAAATCAAAGAAGTCATAATTAACATGGGAGACCTAAATGCCAAAGTATGCAGGGTGAGGGCTGGAGATAGGGCTGTAAAATTTGGACTAGGAACCCACAACGAACGTGGAGAAAAATAGATTCAATGGTGCACAGCCAATGACCAGGTAATAGCCAACACATGGTTCCAAGAATATCAGAGATAATTATGGACATGGAGGACCCCAGGAGGAAAAACTAAAAACCAAATTGACAATATAACTATCAACAAAAGATTCAGGAATGCAATGGTCTACTGCAAAACCTACCCAAGTGCCAACTGTGGAAGCGATCATCATCCTATTTTATGTAAACTAAGAGTGAAACTATGGAAACTGAAGAAGCCTAATGCAGAAACCAAATTGCAATACAACAAACTCCTAAGTGACCCATACATGAAAGAAAAATATATGGACAATGTGAAAAGATGATATAAGGGACATAATGGAAACTCAAAATGTGACACACTGAGACTTTTTAGTGACATCAGCAAATGATATCATCCTAAAGGAGAATGAATGAAGAAGAAAATACGAAAAGATTACTGATGAGATACCCAACATGATGCAAAGGAGACAGAAAACTCTACCAAGATATGGTACAGAATACAGAAAATTACACAATGAAATAAGGACCAAATGCAGGCAGGCTAAAGAAGAGTGGCTAAACAAAAAATGTGCAGAAATAGAAATTGAGTACCACCAACAAAGGAGATATGCATAAACAAATAAGGCAACTAACAGGACAGAAGACCTCCTCATCAATAGGCTGCATAAAATCAAAGGATGGAACACCCATATTAGAGAAGAAAAAAATTTTTCAGTGCTGGAGCAAGTATATTGATAAGTATATCCATGACGAAAAGAGAACCACCAGCAATACACAGAACTACCGACAGACCTGAAATTTTAAAACCCGAAATAGAAGCTGTACAGGTCAAATTGAACAAAAACATGGTGGCATAGCCAGACAGAATTGCAATGGAAATGCTGGCAGCCTTAGATGATTTTGGCATAGACAAAATCACAGAAATAATAAATGTAATCTACAATATATACAATATATAGGGATTTTCATAACACTGCCTAAGAAATCCGGCAGAAATGTATGTGAATTCTACTGAACAATCAGCTTAATGAGTCACATAACACAACTCATCATCCATATTCTGATGAATAGAGCGCACAGCAGAATCAGGCCAGAGATAGGACAAGGACAATGTGGGTTTGTTAAAGACACCAGAACAAGGAATGTGATATTCATGCTCAGAATGTGTACCTATGTTTTATAGACTATGCAAAGGCATTTGACAAAGTATGCAACAAAGATCTGTTGTAACTACTCAGCAACCTTGATATATTCAGGGAAAATATTAGAATAATCAAGAACCTATACTTGCAGCAAACGTGCACATAGAGAATGAGTTCATCAGATATAAAAAAAATAGAAGGGGGCATAAGATAAGGATGTGTCTTCTCACTGGACTTATTCAACCTATACAGTGAGTCAGTTCTGAGAGAATTGGAAGTCCTACCAGGATTCATCATTTGTGGCCACAATCTTAACAGCATAAGATATGCAGATAACACAGAACTGATTATAAAACATCCTGCAGAAGGTAGCGAAGGAGAGCGGGAAGAAGCGACTAAGCATAAACTGCAAGAAGACAGAATGCATGGTCATCTGCAAAAGGAGGAACTTGAGATGCAATTTACAGGTCAGGACACTAAACTCAAGCAGTTACAGAAATTAAATATCTGGAAAGTGTTTTGACAGAGAACAGCAAGTGCAATGCTATGATCCGAAGATGTATTGAGATGGCCAAAGACACATTCCAAAAGCTAGGCAGAGTATTACGAGACAGGAGGATTTGTTTGATGACAAAGACCAGAGTACTGAGCTGCTACGTGACATCTGTCCTCCTTTATGGCAGTGAATGTTATTCTCCTCAAAGATGAAGAAGAGGCTAAAGGCAACAGAGGTATCCTTCTACAGAAGGATGCTAAGGATATCATGGACTGAGTGTGTGAGCAACAATGAGGTTTTGAAGAGGATGCAAACAAGGAGGAAGCTTATAGTTAACATCAGGAAGAGGCAGCTGAAATTTCTGGGACACGTAAGGAGGGGCTGGAGAATCTGATATTCACAGGTCAAATAATGGGAAAGAGAGACAAGGGAAAGCAATGCATGACATAGCTAGCAGGCTTAAGCAAGTGGATAACAGAACATGGCCTGGAAGAAGTAGCAAAGGGACAAAACTTATTGAAAGCTACAAGGGATAGGGGGAAGTGGAGAGGCATGATCGCCTACGTCCTGAAGGGACACTGCACATAAAAAGAAAGAAAGTATATTTGGCAGTTATTGCAAACAGTGGTTGGTTTCCTTGATTAGAATGAGTTCATGACCTCATAGTTGCTTCTATATTTCCTCATCTAAGTTATGAGCAAGAAAGGGAGAAAGAATATGAAGGTGTGTCTTCTGTTACCCTCTCTCAAAAAGAAAAGAAAAGGTATCAGAGACAAGTAAAAAATCTGTCAAAGATAAATTAATTCACACTCACTGAATTTGTAGTCAAAGGTTAAATAAGTTATTTTAGAAAAATTAGAAAATTTAAAGTATACTTAATATAATTTGAAATAAACATTACTTAATTTTTTAGCAGAAAAAATTTAGTTGGCAATAAGAGAAGCATGAATCAGCAGGCTCTGTTTGCAAAGCCTATTATTGACGACTACTTGGCCACTGTTGGAGGTGCTTGGAATGTTCTAATGACTAAGGCTCTTCTCTACAGTGCTTCCAATGTCAGAACAGCATACAACCAATACCTTGAGATTGAGAAGAAAAAAAGGCAGGAAGAAGCAGCTGGACAAAAACAGAAATCCATGCTTATGGAAATTGAATAACTGAAGACCAAAAAACACAAGATTGAAAGTTGCACACAAGACTTGCTCAAGTCAACTGACAGCTATGTGGAGAAGGCTCAGCAGACTCAGAACTTAACACTTATCGTGAAGTCCAATTCTATGCAAAGATTTGCAAAGGACAAATCCATAGAGATGTCAAAATTGGAAGAGAAGCTGAATGCTAAACTAGATGAACTGAAAAAATGTTAGCATCATCGTGTTCTGTGCCCTGTGCAACAAAAGCCATGAGTAGTAGGGTTAGCTAAAATGTGTAGTCTTTTTGTAAAAATTTTTATTTGTAGTTCTGTTCATTAAAAACACTATACATAGCTTCACAGGAAACGTGCAGCAGTCAAGAATTTTTGTGAAATTCACAGGTAGCTGAAATAGCAGCAAGAATTAAAGTGTAATTTAAAATTTTCAAATGTAGTAGAACTCCAAATTGTGTTGAATGCTACACAAAATGTGTAACATAACCAGGTCTGCATTCAGTTGTGTTTTTGCTTTCAACACTTTGATTCCTTTACTACTTTCAACTGATCCATGTGACTTGGATTATTGGAACCAGCTGTAGCTTTTCTTTGTACATCTCAGTTGTCAAACTATTAAAAGATAAATCACAAAGCGTGCGTTTTTGAAATTGATGACCATTCACTTTGTGTATGTGGGTCTGTGCACTAGTTTCAGTCCTTGAAGCTTCTTAACATAGTCTTGGAAAAGTCTTTGAATTTTTTTTTTACACGGGTCTGTGGGAACTATGTGAAATTTGTTGCAATGATTGCTTAGTCATGTTGGCATGATCAATTGCCATATCGTTTAAAATAGGAAATTCAACTTAGTTTCTGTTTTATTTTAAAACAATATCAATATCTGGCATTTTGTTTTAAAACCAAGCATCTCTGGTATTCAAACACAAATCTAGTTGGTACATGTCAGAATAGAGAGGAAATTGCTTTGGATATTTCTTTCTAAATATTATGAAAATATGATTTAAACTAAGAAAAATGAATTTTTTCTCAGACTTAACAACTAACATTAATAACCTCACCTTTGTTGTTGTTATCACAATGTTTTGGCCTTCATCAGGTGTATATTGATTCTCATCACAGAAATTCATACATAAATTAACAAAAATAAATGTTTTAATTTGAAAGCTTATTGAAGATTATTTTGTGTCTACAGTTTTAATTTTAATATCTCACTCTTAAAAACATTTCCTCTAAGCCATTGTTCTTTATTGGAAATAAGCTGTGCTTTTAAATTAAATTCAGAATTTAAAATTAGAATTGCTATCTGAAATATTTTAGTTGTTGGCCATATTATTGTTGAGCTGATACTTCCCTGACAAAACAGTTAATTTTCTTTATACTGTGACTCTATTTATGTATTTGTGTGTTTTGGACATTTGTTCTTTATTCTCAATTCTTGAATCACTGCTAATAAGGATAGGATTTGAAAATCTTAGCAAAGTTTCATGTTCTGTATGCTTTTTTCTTTTTTTTTTTTTAATAATTACTTTGTTATCATAGAAAACAACTAATTTAAAATAAAACCATGTTTTAATCACCAAATTAACCAATATCCTTCCAGATTAGTGTAACTGCTTGTAATAGTCATGGTTAAAGAAAAATTATATAGATTCAAGTTTAGCAATTAAAAACTTTTGAAACAATTTCCAAAACAATGTGAATCTTTGACTTTGGAAGTAGGTTCCATCATCAAACTATAAACAACACAGACACAGCTTTTTCTGTTGTTTTTTAATCTTTAAATCTATATATAGCCCATGTAATATCTACATTAATAAACAAAAGTTAATAAAAGAAAAATAACAACTTTATTTCTTTATTTTCAGTTGAAAACTGGGACACCTATGAGAAAATTTTGGACAATGTTTATGCTCGTCATATCAAATCAGAATCTCACCTTCACCCCGTTATGATGTCGGAACCAGCCGTAAGTTTTGACAACTTCAATTTTATTTGCTATTGTAGTTACTGGTGAGAATGTCAGAAGAAAAAAAAACATCCTTTTGTTTAATTTTTCAAATTGTAGAAAGGACAGCATGGCTTTTTTTTAATAAAAACTATTTAGTGTCTATGGAAAATACTTGACAAGACCAAAAAAAAATGATCTGTTGGAGTTGGGAATGTGCTGCTCTAAACAATATTAACAAAAATCTAACTTATATTACTAATACAAAAGAAGTAGATGTCATACTGTTGTGTACTGGTAACTAAAGAAGTGAGTTTGATTGTCACTGGGTCAAACTAAGCTTAGTAGGTACCTACATAAAACATACAGAACTACTGTGTTCGTTATGGGGTGGGAGGGCAAGTTCTTCTATATGCCGTGTCCCTTAGGATGTGAGCAATCATGACTCAACACAATTTCCTGTCTTTTGTAGCTCTTAATAATTTTTGCCTTTTCTCCTAAACCTTGTTCCACCATCCATTTACTCTAGCTCAATAAGTAGGCTACGCATTGTTTTCCTCTGTCCTTTTTGCTTTCAATGTCCTGTGTGCATCATTTTCCAAGCCCTCTGATGTTAAGTGTCCTTTTTGTTTCCATTGTCTTTAAAACTTTGTCATTGCTCAGATATTCAGTTCGTGGTATCCTCAGAATCCTTCTGTAGAACCACATCTCTATTGATTCAATTCTCTTTATCTGTAAGGAGATTGTTCAGCATTCACTGCCATATAGGAGGACAGATATTGCGTAACAGTTCAGTATGCTTTTCTTTATTTCTAACAAAATTTTTCTGTTTCTTGATACTCTGCTTAGCTTTTGGAATGCATCTTTGACTATCCCAACTTATAATTTGCAAGTTAGGCACTTCCTTTTGCTAACAACCATGCATTTCATCTTCTTGCAATTCATGTTTAGTCTTTTCTTCCTGCTTTCCCTCACTACCTTCTGTAGAAATTCTTGTAGTTTTCTTTCCATGTCTGCTATCAACAGTGTCATATGCATATCATGTTGTTAAGATTGTGGCCACCAATAATGAATTCTGGTATTCTCTCAGAATCGCCTCACCGTTTGTGCTTTTCTCTGAAATAAGGCTGGAGCAGTTAGATATTTAATTTCTTTTTTTATCCTTAGAGTTCCTGAAATGGTCATTCTTTCACAACTTTATGACACTCAAAACTAACCCTAAAACTGAAATGGTATAAATTTACTATGATCTGTGATTAATGTGTTAAAAAGTCCATTTAAAAAAAATAACTAAAAGAAAAATTGTTTAGCTGTTTTCAAAAGATGAGTTTCTCCAGAACTAGACAAGTTCTGTTAGCTATGAATTTGTCCAGCTAGTCTTAACCACAAATTTAACAACATAGATAGAATTAGATAGAATTAATATATAACCCTGTAAATCAAGCCCTACCCACATTTGTCACCCACACAAGACAGACATGCTTGCAGAGTTGTTGAGGTCTCACACTTATACACACACTCGCACAAATATATACACACATAAACACACACTCTCAAACAACTAAAAAATAGCATACACTTAACATACCTGTCTTGGGTATGACGATAAACTGCATCCAACAGCAAGGCCTCTGATCAGGAGGTTCTGAGGAGCCTCTTAGTTGCTGTTGTTCCTGGGTCCACCCTGACCCAGGGTGGTAGCACCCATTAGGTTCCCAGCTATGGGTAAATAGTCCCCCTCCCTCCCTTGATCTGGAATTGGAATACTAGGAAAGTGTAAGAATGTTTTTTTGTAATAATAATACCATCAACACAAATTGCAGTATATAAAGTGCACATTCACAAAACCCAATTTCAAAAAACTAAAATTTCCTCTAAATGGGGTCACCCATTTGCCGTGGGTGGTGACCCGTGATGCCTGGAGATGGAGTCCTGGTGACTGGGTGACTCCTGATCTGGTGTAAAATGACCAGGAGTTTCCACAACACGTCACTTCAGTCCCTACCTGGGATAGACAGGTGGATGGAATAGCCCAATCCATTCCAATCAGCTAGTCACATAGTGGCAAGGGCTATTTGGGATGATAGATAATGGGTCCGACAGAGGCCATGAAACCTTACATCATATTATACTTGGGTAGATATGGTGGGGGAGTGCAGGTGCTCGTATCCACTCTCATCACAACTATACTGTCTGCATAGCCCTGGCAGATTAGGGCGAATGGGATTAGTCCCCCCTGATAGCATCCCTTAAGAAGGAACTCCAAGGTGGGTGGGGAGCACAGACAGTGAATACAAAAATTAGAATTATATGGCTATCTCTTAATAAAGAAAAATAATACTCTATTAATTCAAGTGATATCCAAAAAAGATGCACAGAAATTGCTAAAGATCAAGCAAATTGACAACAATAAAGTCAAGGCCTACTGCCATCAACTTCTTAATTCATCAAAAGGAGTAATAAAATGCCCAGAACTGTTACTTTGTTCATCAGAAGAAATTGAAAATGATGACACCCTAAAAAAGCAAGGGGTAACGGAGGTAAAAAGAATGCAAATAAAAAGAACAGTAATAAACACCAACACATACATTTTGACATTCGACAAACCAACTCTACCAAAAGAAATAAAGATAGGTTACACAATAGCCAAGGTAGAGTCATACATTCCTAATCCCCGTAGATGTAATAAATGTCATAAATTTGGTCATCTTCAAAATGTTTGTACGAGAACATCAGTCTGTCAAAGATGTGGGGAACCGGAAACTGAGCATGATGAATCACCTTGTGAAAGGCCTCCTTTATGTTTAAACTGTAAAGTGTAAAGAAAAACATTCAGCAGACTCTAAAGAGTGTAACATTTAGAAAAAGGAAATAATTAGAAGAAAATATATGCAAAATATCTCATTCCAAGAAGCCAGGAAACAGGTTGAATCTAATTCACTTCAAGCATCATATGGAAATATCACTAAAATATCAAATCAACAAAAAGTCATCCAAGAAAACAATGCATTAAGAAGCCAAGATCTTATAACTCTTATTAACGAATTAAAAAGTTTAATAGAACTACTAAAATGTAGTATATCACTCATAAATCAAACGCCCATAGACAAAAAAATTCTGTCCCATCAACCTCAAACAAAAAAGTCTCTACATGTACAAAACAATTAAGTCCGACAATTCCAAACCAAAGTACAAAAATCCAAGAAATAGAAACCTCTAAATATTCTCAAGAGAATCAAAAGGTACATAAAAAAATAACTCAACTTTTAGTGAAGAATCAGGAGAAATGGACATAAAGGAACAAAACTTTAGCCCATCACAAACAAGGTAACAGTCATCATCTATACAAAGATCATTAAAAGAACCTAATGGAAAAACAAACCCTATACCGTGAACCGCAAACAAAAATGACTCTACATCTAGAAAAATATTAAACCTGAAAAATCAAAACAAAAAAAGTAAAATCCAAGAAATAGAAATATCGAAACATTCTCAAGAGAATGAAAAGATACAAAAAAAAAATAACGAAACGGTTATTGAAGAACCAAGGAAAATGAACATAGAGGAACAAAACTCTAACCCATCACAAACAAGGGAAAGATCATCATCTAGACAAAGTTCATTAAAAGAACTGAATGGTAAAACTAAGGGAGCAAAATCAATCAAAGTAGAAACAAAAGAAGTTCAAAGAACAAAACATAACAAGAAACAAAATGCTAATAGTCTGAAGTATATAGAAATGATGGACACTTCATCCATATAAAAAAAAAAAATATTGGACATGTAAAAATTCATAATTTATAATACATAATCAAGATGCAAAACCTTAATCAATGGAATTGTAACTGGGGTTAAAACACTATGAAAGTGTAAAAATAGGTTTTAATACCAGAAATACTTTGTAAAAAATTATTACCAGCAATGCATTTTTGAAAACCAAATGTTACTAGCAATGCATTTTTGAAAAACAAATACTACCAGCAATATATTTTTGGAAAAAAGAAAAATAGATATTACCAGCGATACATATTTGAAGGAAAAATATTACCAGAAATAAATTTAAAAAAAAATATTACCAACAATAAAAATTTTGTCGGCATTAAAATAACTCATTGAGGTTGATATGCCATAAAACCAAACCAAACACTTAACATACACATCCCATTCACAGCAACCAATAAAACTGTCAAAATGACCAAGGAGGGTATTCTTAAAATCAGGAATCACCCATTCTCTATCTTGAAAGAGGTCATTTGACCAACACAAATTAACGATAAATTTTTTTTTTTCTCCTGATGATGGCCATGCTGGCTGAAACTAGTTGAGGAACCTAACTGAAATAATAAAACAAAAAAATATTAATATACAACCCATTGTGTCTAAAACTTTTAATTTTTTAATATTTTTTATTCAACACACACACACACACAGTATTTTTTAAATTACTGTAAATATATTTGTTATCATCTACTGTAAATATATTATCCTCAAATTTACTTTGCTTATTCATCAATTTTTAGCAAAAAAACTCTAGAAAAGTAAATAATACATATTTTAGCCATTCTTGAGAATTTTGATATAATTTGGCTTTTGACTTCATATTCTGATCTTGATTTCTATAGAATTTCCATTAGGTGACTTTTTATTTTTAGTTTCTCATTTTAAGCCTTTTTTCTGATCTAAACCATTTTAAGTTCTGTTCACATAAGCATAAATGATACATCTTGTTATATAGAAAGAACAAATCTCGAACGAAGCTTAAAGAGGTTTCTGTTTAGAGCTTAATTTATGAACAACTACTGGCAATACTTGTCCAAAATAGGAACAAATTTTATTAAAATTCTTAAGTAGGTTTGTTTCTGAACCAGGAAATCTTTCTTTAACTTGCATTATTGTTTTCTTCTATATTAAGATCATCTTTTTAATAACATCTCCAGAAATGGTTATCACCATAAGCTGTATTAAGAGGAGGTTTTAAATTAAAAATAACAGATGAACAATTCAAATGGGTACAGAGTTGT